AGGGGAGGCTTAAGGATTGCACTGCAGTCCACAAATTATTGGGGACAATTTTGAGTGACAGCGATGCTGCGTCAAGTTAGTCCTTTTCCTTCTTGCTTTTATGTTACTCTGTGATACTCAATTGTGATGTTGTGAATCTTACATCTATTGATTTTTTGCTATTTACAAATTACATCCTTAAAGTTGGGACAATTATTGAAAACTTGCAACTCTCAAGTAGTGTTTGGAATATCCTGCAGCATCTGTTTGCAATTTCACTTGTGCCCGTGTCTAAGAATGCAGATTTATTTTCATAGTAACACACCCATTGGACGAATTTCCATTTGTTAGGGATGTTTTCCCCCAATACTTTATGGGGCCTAGTCACTGCAGTGAGGCTAGGATTGACTAAAGAATCTTAAGGTTTGCAGCATGTTAAATATGGAATATAGTAAGATTTGAGAAACGTAAGTTACTAGCGAAAGTCTATGATTTTCTGCCTGAGGTCTGCGGTTGGGATTAGGGGAGCAATTGGGATATGAATTCAACCGGTTTTGACTGATTTTGTTTGGTTAAAGTGGGTTGTTTTGAATAAAGTACATTGAGTGGATGCTTTTGAGTTTGAAATTAAATAATATTAAAAATGTATTGATTAAAGTTGATATGATATAAAAGTAGAAAAGAGATTATTGGAAGTGATAAGTAGTTAAAATTATGTGAGTGAATTAACGTTTATGTGAGTTTACTTGAGTTGAATTTTGAATTAGATGAATGGATATGAAATAACTCAACTGGCCATAATCGGTTATAACCAATTATAACTCATAGCCATTCACGCCCGTAGTTATGCAATTTGATCCTGATTCCAATTTGATCCTTTTTAGGTTTACCTGGTTGGCTGAAAAATTGCATGTGTTACTATATAGTAATAATTAAGGGTGCGATTGGATATAAATAAAACGTATTTTGATTGGATTTATTGGTTAAAGTGAGTTAATTTTGAATAAAGTTGGTTGAGTAGGATTTTGACTTTGTATTCTAATTATAAAGTTGATGTGATGTAAAAGTACTAGAGATGTTATTAGAAATGAGAGGTAGTTAAAAATATGTGAATGCATTAATGGTGAAATAATTTTGATGTGATGTGTGAGGATGATCCATTGATATTATTTAATTATATTGATAATATTGAGGAGAGTTGGGTCGAATTAAATTTGAGTTGGATTTTGAGTTAAAGTGTGAAAAAATGATACGGTATATTTTATAGCCAATCACACCCTAAAAAATCCATCCTCACGTGTTACCTTGAACTTTTTATTATTATTCTAGAACCAATTTTGTAAACAAAAACGAATTTCTAACTTTTAGAAAAACTGTTCTCCCACTTTGATTAGGGCTATGTTTGGAGCTAGCTAATAAGTGATTTTCGAGCTTATGGTTTATAACTTATGACTTATAATTGAAAGCTAGCTTATATGATAAAAATGTTTGGTAAAATTAGCTGATAAGCTAGTGGAAATGAAAATTTCAACGAGATTATTTGAAAAGCTACCCAAAAAAGCTTATGAGGTAAGCTCGAGATTTTTTGAAAAGTTCGTCCTACCGAGCGAAGCTTATTTGAGTACATGAAGCTTATAAGCTAACCAAATAAGCTATAAGCTAGATTATTTGGTTACCAAACATAGCTTAGGTTCAAATTTATAATGATCCTTATCTTAAAATCCTTGCTTGATGATCACATTTTAAATATGTTTACCGTCCATACCCTGAATTTGTAAGTCTCTTGCAGGATGGAAAATTCGATGTGCCGAGTACTTCCCTTACTCGTCATACTTTGAAGGTAGTCAAAGCTCTGCCATAGCAAACAAGAATCGAAATCTAGCTGAAAATGGCAGCCAAAGCAGCTCATTAGCCAATCAGACTGTTTCAACATCATCTTCTAACGGCGATGTCGAAACATTAGAGGCACTCAAAGACCTCGCTGTAAAATAGTCGATGCACATCATGAGAATGACCCAACTCTCCTCGGTAAGTGAGAAATCAATGCTGCTGCCGGACAGAAGGGAAAGCCCGATTGGCTTCATAAAAATTTGCAGTAAAGATGAGATTTTATAATATTTAGATCCCCTTCAGGTTTACTGGTACATTTGCATAATTTTTTTATGCAAAAAATGTGCATACTTTTCGCCTGTTTTTGTATTCAGAGTTGGATTTTCGCGAGTTTCTTGGTTTCTGCTGTATGAGAAGGGGGGTTCCTTTTGGATCTCTCTGGAAGTGAAAAAAGTTTTCTGTCAACTTATTCTGCAGCTTATCATATAATCCCAATGATAGTTAATGTAACATTTTTAAGAGCATGTTGTATTTCTTAGTTTATTTACTCCCATTAGTTCGTCGTGTAAAAATGTTACCTATGTGAAATTTTGTCTTGGTATTGATACAAATAAATTTGTTTCACTGGGCACAGATTTTTGAGTGTTACGTGAGTTTGAGTTGGTTGGTTTATTATAAAAAGTGAACACAGTTTATGGTTTGGGCAAATTTCTTTTGCACCCCGATGGAAGATTATATTAAGTTTTTCACATGTATGCTAACAATCTAACTTTTTCACCTTGAAAAATGCAAAGGTTATTCAAATGGTTCGTGTAACCGTCACATATCAGTCGCATAACTATTACAAATGCATATTAGAAAGTGCGAAGGTTATGTGAATGTCTTCGATTTTCAACTTCCACACAATGTAGGTCAATTGTGCGAGTGGCCGCACCGCACAATTCAAAATACCACTTCAATTCAAAATTACTATATTTTGTCATAAAGGAGGCTTTTAAAAACGTAATGCACTTTGGGTCGCTACGGACTCCAACTTATTGGGAATATATTGGGTATAATTACAAGGGTAAGATCTGCGTACAATTGACCTCCCAGACCCCAATCTATTGGGAATATACTGGGTATGTTGTTGTTGTATCACATGCCTTTTGGGATTGGTATTTTGGTAAGTGAAAAAAAAAAAAAGAAATGTTCAAGACTCTAGTGCGCAGTGCACATGGGAAGCTATGCTTGACCTTCATGTACATGGTTTAAAGGTTGCCAAATCCCACACTCTTCAACAGCCATAACAAAACATACCTAGTTTGGACACAACAATTAATTTTGTGAATTGTTAAAGATAGATTCTTGGGGCCACATAGTTTTTAGGTAGGTATTGTTGTCTAAATGTCATCAACCAAACACAAATAGTATCTTATAATGTGGAGACAGCTCCCATCACTTGTGCCCTACATTCATATATATCTTAATTGATTTGTCTAAGGCTAGGGAACATATGCCCGGTTGTGGATAGACAATAACTTCTCTATAGATCTAAAAAAAAGTTTATATGCCTTTGTTTACAATTCTCTAAATTAGTACCAATATTTTGATTCTTTCTTGTCTTTTGACCTGATTTGTATTAATTATGTCAACTCTCTCGTATTTTGTGCTTAATTTGGGGGTTATTGGGTCATGCACGAAAACTTTTCTAATCTATGTGCACTTATCACACTCGTCTAATGTTATTTATCCTATCCGGTTATTGTAATGCTCGCACTATCCTGCATTTTTCCTATAATTTTTTTGTTCACATGGTATATTGATAGCTCGGCTCGTTTAATGGCCAATCCATTTGTTTGTTCACAAGGATAATCCGTCTAACGATTATGCAACCCCATACAATTTGTGGATTTGAGATTAATAAAAGGCAAAGACCAAGTCAAGTAGGGTAATGTAAAAGATTGTCAATGAGGTCACATTTAAACATAGAATACAATTTCATATATTAATTATCAGCCAACTGTTTGTGAGACATGCATGCAGACTCGCCCAGTTTCCGCCCGGCGAAATGCCGGGCGAGTGCGCATGTGGTCTCGGGCGAAATTTGGTTCGCCTGGCGGAATGCTGGGCGAGTGCTAGTTCATTGGCGTGTGCAAACTCGCCCAGTTTCCGCCAGGCAAAATGCCGGGTGAGTGCTCATGTGGTCTCAGGTGAAATTTGGTTCGCCTGGCGGAATGCCGAGCGAGTGCTAGTTCATTGTCGCATGCAGACTCGCCCAGTTTTCGCCCGGCGAAATGACGGGCGAGTGCTCATGTGGTCTCGGGCGAAATTTGGTTCGCCTGGCGGAATGCCGGGCAATGACGGATCCAGGATGATTACATAATGGAGGCACCATATAATTAACACCGCGTCGTCGCCTCGCTTGAAGTATGTATCTTTTTCTTTTTCTTTTTATTTTTAATAAAGGTATGTATATATTGACGGGATGGGCCTGAGGCCACTAAATATATACACATATATATGTGTGTGTATCTTTTTCTTTAATATATGTATATATTGACCGATTAACGCTGCTGGCTACTGCTAAATATATATATATATATATGCATCTTTCTTTTTTTTTTTGGTATTATTAATAGGCCTCTAAATATTTTTGTTTTCTTTTAATAATTAAGTTTATTATTTTGGGTTGTTAGTTGTAGGTTGAATTGTTTTCTGTTTGGGGCAAGAGGAATCTTACTCTTTTAGGCTACCTAACTAATATACTAATAGAGGAATTTTACAATTTTGTTGGGGGCGTGTGACTAGACATGGCCGGGTCAATGCCCGGCCCGGCCCGCTAGGTCACCGGGCTCGAAAACACTGACCCTGAACCGGCACGGACCTATACTCGTGTCAGGTCCGTGTCCGGGCCGGGTCGTGTCCAGGCCGGGTCCGTGCTTTTTTTAAAAAAAATAGAAAAAAATAAAAAAAAAATAAGAAAGAAGGGTCATCGACCCGGCCCGGCCCAGGCCTGGTCATGAATTGAAATGGATGACCCTTAAACGGCCCGTCTGAAATTCGGTCCGGTCCCGGACCCGTGGTCAACGGGTTTGACCGTGCCGGGTCGGCGGGTCGGTTGACCCGTGGCCATGTCTACCCCACTTCTTACAATGTGGATCCGCCACTGATGCCGGGCAAGTGCTAGTTCATTGGCGCGTGCAGATTCGCCCAAATTCTGCCCGGCAAAATGTCTGGCGAGTGCTCATGTGGTCTCGGGCGAAATTTGGTTCGCCTGGCGGAATGTCAGGCGAGTGCTAGTTCATTGGCGCGTGCAGACTCGCCCAGTTTCCGCCCGACGAAATGTCGGCGAGTTCTAGTTCATTGGCACGTGCAAACTCGCCCAGTTTTCGCCCGGCGAAATGTCGGGCGAGTGCTCATTGGTCTCGGGCGAAATTTGGTTCGCCGAGCGAGTGCTAGTTCATTGGTGCATGCAGACTCGCCCAGTTTCCGNGGCGAAATTTGGTTTGTCGGGCGAGTGCTAGTTCATTGGCGCGTGCAGACTCGCCCAGTTTCCACCCAGCGAAATGTCGGGCGAGTGCTCATGTGGTCTCGGGTGAAATTTAGTTCGCCTGACGGAATGCTGGGCGAGTACTAGTGCATTGGCACGTGCAGACTCGCCCAGTTTCCACTAGGCGAAATGCCGGGCGAGTGCTCATGTGGTCTCGGGCGAAATTTGGTTCGCCGAGCGAATGCTCGGGATCTCGGTGGACTCTTCGAAAACGGCACACGAACCTCGAAAAACTCTCAAGTTAGTCGGGCCTCGGTGAAAATCTCTCGGGTCTCTTTCATTGCTCTCAGACTCCATGGGAATTTGTACTAGACATGCTCGGAAATGGACGGAGATGATGTGCTCGGTTTTCAACTCGCATGCTCGGGACTCGGCTCGGTTCTTCCTCTTTCAAACTCAAACAAGCGGACCTATAAAACACCAAAAGACACGGGAAAGTACGCCAAAAACAAAAGAACACCAAATACAAATAAAAGCACGCAAAACAATTAAAACAGATTGGTTGAACAAGAAAACGACCTAGAACCGACTCAACTAAGCACATAAATCACATAAAATAAGCACAAAAACAACAAACAGTAATTGATACTTCATATTTAAGAACTTTTTTTTGTTTTACCTTTTACTTTTATGTTACATGGGTACATATACAGTAAAACCTCTATAAATTAATAGTGTTGGGATCATAAAATTTTATTAACTTAGAGGGATATTAATTAATCAATAAATTAATAATTTATTAATTTAAAGAGTGCTTTCACGATTTAGCAAATATAAATTTTAGCAAGTGTAGTTTGTACTTAGTGAGCAACTAGACTTGCTTCCGATATTGCAAAATTCGATCGGAGGATGAAGCAACCTTAAGAAGCTCTAATGAAGTGGCTTTTGAAGAAAACATTTGCGAACTTGAGAAAATGATTAATGATCTAGGGTACCACAACAAAACGGATGTCAATCACTTGTTATATTACCCAGGTAAATATGATGGATGTTTAGAGGTCCAAAGCTTAGAAGAAATTGTGGATAGTGTCATTTGAAATTCTGTTGAGGATGAAGTTGATGATTCAGTACCTTTGGAACCAATCATACAGAAGGAAGCACTAATGGCAGCCAAAATTCTTCACAACTTTTTGTTGCAGCTTGAGAGTATGACACCAGAGCTTTTGTATGCAATGAGAAAAATTAAGGATGAAATCAATTTAGATTTGAATTTCATGAAGAAAACAAAAAACAATAGATTCATATTTTACTAAACTGCCTTAATTATATTTGTAATTTTAGAGGATTATTACTTTATGATTTTCATGGGACTATATATTTATAAAGGGGTCTTTCCAAAAATTATTATCTTTATTATTTTATTAAAATTTACAATTTTTTACATTGGTCCAAGTTGGGACCGTGAGAAAATATTAATTTAGAGAAATTATTCATATACCGAGTATTAAAGAAGAAGAAGAAGAAGAAGAAGAAGAAGAAAATTTACAATTTTTTACATTGGTCCAAGTCGGGACCGTGAGAAAATATTATTTTAGAGAAATTATTAATATACCGAGTATTAAAGAAGAAGAAGAAGAAGAACATAAATAGAAGAAGAAGAAGAAGAAGAACATAAATAAAATACATAATAAAAGTATGGTGTATCGACCCGTCAAATTATTAGAATATTTCACACAAGAATTTGTGATATAAAAAGTAGGCTTATCCCATTAATGCAAAACAAAATATTTCCCACTCATTTTTTTAAGTTAATTATGAAACTAAATCGTCACATATTATGTTACTTAGGTGCAATTTTATAATTGTTCTATTATATTGTAGTTACCACTAATACTAATTAATTATATATTAACACTAAATAGTATATGAAACTTACATACTTATACAAAATTCTATTAATTTTTTTCTTCAAACTAATAATTCTATAATTAGTATTATTTTTTTCATCTGAAAATAAATGGTTATTCTTTAAAATTAGGTACTTGATTTTATTGGCATAACCAAATCTTTAAAATCACATTTACTATTATTATTATTATTATTATTATTATTATTATTATTATTATTATTATTATTATTATTTTTATTATTATTATTATTATTATTCAGCTAACTAATTGGTCACAGACCCTAAATTACAAAAAATAAATTATCCATCAAATTTATATCACAAATATAATGTTTTATGTGTAAGCTAAATAATTTATATTTATATCAATATTTTTGTAGTGGTCAAAATTTTAAATGTGATATATCTATTATCTAAATTATAATTCTAAACCTTATATAAATCCCCTCTATATATAATTTCAAAATGCGCTGAGCCTACGTGACAAACTCTCATGTTTCGAAATCCTATTTGGCAAAAAATTACGCTTTGGAGTTAAGCTTAGATATAAATTAATAATTGTATTAATTATATTTTAATTTTAATATCATTTCCTATTATAACCATCGAATTGCAAATATATTTTAAAAGTTGATAACTTTTGTATTTTTTATCGGTTTTACATATATAATATATCGAATTAATCATTTTTTGATGAGCTTCGATTTGACATTCATATTGTATATATAAAATAAATAAATTATATTTATCTTTATAATAATAAAATTATTTATTAAAATTAATTAGAAAATAAAATTATTTATCAATTAATATATTTATGTTTAATGTAGTTATATATTATAAGGTTGAAAATTTGTTATAATATAACACATATAAGTCGCACAAGTAACACTTGTCATACTAAAATATATAATAATATATACTCCCTTCTATTTTTATTATTTGTCACTTTGGCTTAATTGATCATTGATAAAATAAATGTCGTTTTAAATATTTTGTTCATATTTTTCTATTTTTAACCCTCTATCTAATACACAATGTCTCTTCATATCCCATCTCCAACGTTTCCCATAACATCCATTAAATAGGGTTAATATTGTCAAGAAAAAAAATCTTAATTAGTGTGTTGCATTTGAATTGATATTATGAAGTCTGTTTGTATTTTACTATTTATATATATATATATATATATAATACAAAACAATAATATATATCCTTATAAATAAAATTTACAATTAATTATCAAACTAAATTAAATTATATCAAATAAAACTATAAATTATATTATAAAGTAATAGAAATTGGTATGTATTCTAAAAATGACATTTATTTCAAATCTAATTGGTATGTTGTCAATGTAATAAAAATAAATAATTTTTTATATAAATTCTAAAATTACATATAAAGTTAAAAAATTTTGAAACACGTACGATTGATACGGCACTTGATGTATTATGCATCTAATTAAGTAAAAAAAAATTAATCTATTTTGCTTAATATTAAATAAACATATTCTACACATATGCATATACATATCACTATATTATTTCTATTTATTTAAGATATATATTTTTGTACTTATGTAATAGTAAATAATATCGATATTTTTATATGATATAAGTAAAAAATTCAACACCGGTTGACATTTTCATTTAATGTATGAGTGTTGAATTATTATGATTAAAAAAATATAATTTAACAATTTAATTAAAACTCAAAGTAATGTTTTATATAAAATTAAATTATTTTAGTTTTAAAAAAAAAAATTAATATTTTTTCTACAAAAGTTTTTTAATTCAACACTACCTATAATTTATAATATATTTTATTTAAATAAGTACACATGGCCGAGTTACCACACTTAATTGAGTTAATTCCCTCAACCAACCAAAGCAAAGCACATGGTATTGTCCCCACATCCAACGCCCAGGATCAAACCTCACTAAAAGCCACCCCAAATCAGCAGCCCTCCAATCGGCCCAATAATCCAACTTTGCCGGCCCATTTTAGCCTTTTGGGCGGCAAAAACTCCCCCACCATTATTTCTCATTCGCCCGACCACTTAAGCTCCTCTTTCATTTGCTTTTGCCTTTTCTCACACAACACACACAAGACACACACACACACACACATATATATATATGTATATATATGAAAACCAAATCTTAATTTTATTCTGATCAAAATTAGTGAAAAGCGTTACGAAATTGAATCTGAAAATGGAGAAAAATGGATTGGGACTCGAAACGGAGTTGAAATTGGGGCTTCCCGGCGGCGGTTGCGAGGTGGAGAAGAGTGAGAAGAAAAGGGGGTTTTCGGATATCTCGAGCGGCGGCGGCGGAGAGGAGAGGGATGCGGCGGCGGAGAGTAAGGATCGGGTGGTGGGGTGGCCGCCGGTGGCGGCTTACCGGAGGAAGAACGGGTTTGGCCGTGGTAAGATGTACGTGAAGGTTAGCATGGACGGCGCACCGTATCTGCGCAAGATAGACTTGGGCAGTCACAAGTGCTACTCTGACCTTGCGGCGGCTCTGGAAGAGCTGTTTGGCTGTTTTGGCATTGGTAANATTTGTATTTGGATATTTTTTTCTGTTTTTATTTATTTATTTTTGTGAGTGTTGTGTGAGGATTGTTATAGTATTGCAAAAAAAAGCAACGTTATCTACATTTTTATGCTATTTTATTATTAGAATTTTGTTTGTGATGTGTGTATTCATAGGGGGAAAAAAAAATATATATCAAAAAATCTACAATTGATATAGATTTATTTGTAAACATTGACTCCAATTGAAACAATATTGTTGTAGTAGATCGTGTGGTTAGACACTCATGCTATTTCCATAAATTTACATTGTCAAATAATTTATAGATTTGAATAGAAATACAAATCAGGACAATAATTCTTTGTCCTTCTCATTATCAAAATAAACAATTCAAATTTCACCAATACATGATCCAGTAATCTATTTAGTAAACCAATATGGTAAAATAGATTAATCTATATTTATGTATTCTTTTTCTTTCACAATTGATTATTTTCTATACTTCTTATATTTTGATCATTTTGTAATTCTTTAATATTTTTTATATTATATAATTGGAATAATATTATAAAATAAAAAATAATCTATATATAAATAGAATAAACATTTACTAAAAATAGTATATAAATGTTCTAGAATACTTATTTCTTTAGAATTTTTTTAAATATTTGTATTAATTGTTTGTATATACACGTTTCAAAATCAAATTCATAAATTGCTTGCATATACATATCAGATATGATCAAAAAGATTATTTAAACTTTATTAAGATATGCAATAATTTCATTGATATCAATTATAATAAACTGAAAATGTAATTTTCCGTGATTCATGTTAATAAATTATGGTCAAAATAAACATGAAACATATTTTAAATTTTAACCATATTATTTTTTATATTCCACAAATATTAATTTTTCATCTTAAAATATTTGTAGAAAATCGCAAAGGTTGGGTAATTTTTTTTCTTCCAATCAGCCGAACTCAAGTTGGTGAATTAATCTTTCTCAATATAATTTTTCTTAGGCTTTATTTCATTACATATATAAAGAAAAACAAATTATTCCTCATATTAATATAATTTACTATTTAAAGGATATAAATAGTTTTACTAATGGTCAGATAATAAATTTAAAATATATAAACTATTTTTAGAATTTCAGCATGTGATTTATTTGTATATTATTGTCAATCATGATTATTTTATATTATTTTATTTTAATTTCTTTCCATAATTATATTCTGGTAAAATATGTTTTCATCGCATAGTATGTTAAATAAACTATAAAATCTTATGATGCAAATTAGAAAAATCTCTTGATTATAAAAGAGATTTAGTTTTTGGCAATTGTTAGATCAAAGTTTTTTAATTGTTATAAAAAGTAAAATTCTAAATAATATGTGTGTATATTTTATAAAATATTTATACAAAATATTTTATTTTTAATTTATTTTTATAATTTAAATAATTACATTTATAACTAATATCAACTCATATTAAACATTTTTCATTACATATAATAAAAAGTAGAATACCAAGACTACCTCTATAACTTTTACAAATTATAATACTGACATCATATGAGAAATTTTAAAATAAAATAATAATTTAGTATACACGATGAACAAGAATAAATAAAACTGTTATTTTTTTTTATATCAAGAAATCAATATATATACTAAAATTAAATTTATATTAGTATAAATATATTAAGGATATAATATATTAATTAATTTACAGACTAGCGCTAACAAGTTCAGATTTAACGTTTTGGCTAATAAACAAGTTATGATTTAACTCTTTGACTAAAAAAATGAAACTCTATTATTTTATAGGTCTAAACAACCGAACATTTGAAAATGACTTATTTTACATTTATGTCATATGTTTCGCATAAGCTACGTAAAATCCAATCTAGAGTCGTAAAAGAAGGGACTACATTATAACGCACATGAAATGTGCAAGTTAGGAAAAGCTGGAAAAATCAAGTCCCCATTAAATTTATTTCCTAATTTTGTCGTGTAAAGTTGATACAAATGTCATAAATTGTAGTCCCATAAACAGTGGAAATTATTGGACGAACTTTCTCCCACAATTATCTCATTTGTAGAGTTAAATTAAGGTTGATGGTAAAATAATAAACAAAAGAAAATAGTTGATGAAATTATTTGTTATCATACTTAGTTTTACTATATATGTAAGAAAAAGCAATAATAATTTTAATGAAATAGTTTGATTTGGCATCTGAATTTGCAGGTGAGGACAATTGTGAGTACACTCCCATTTACGAGGACAAAGATGGCGACTGGATGCTACTTGGAGATGTTCCTTGGGTGTAAGTCTCTTAATTATATAATTAATTAATTAACTAATTAAACAATTAATTATATATATAAACCAAAATGAATATTTTAAATTCTAAGAAGATTGAAAAATGCATTTCTTTTTAAATGATTTTATTCTGGGATTTTCTTAGATCTTATCTATAATTATATAAATCAATTTAACCACAAATTTAATGTACATTTTCTTTTTAATTTTGTTATAGATATATTATACTTTGCCTCGGATACTGTAAATTCTAATGAATTAATTTATTATAGAAAAAAAACTATTTTAACTACGACGTATTCGTTTATCCAAAAATGGTAATAATTAGTAAAAAGTAGAGATGAAACTATATTTTCTTTCAAACATGCATATTTATAGTTATGAAATATCATACTCTAATTTATATTATATTTTTAAATATAATATTTAAATAGAAAAAAATAATATATATTTATTCCAGGAGTATGTATGCCTAATCACATATATAAGAGCTATGAAAAAAAATAAGTTTGATGATGATAAGTGTAATTAAACCACTTGGTTTAATGTATCACAAACACTTCAATTTTAATCTCACAAGGGTATTTTAGTAAATTATGCCTAGACAAGGGCCATGCCCACATTATAGTTTTTGTACTCGAGGACAGGAGAAAATGTTGAAGGACAATTACTAGTCAAGCCAGAGATAATAATTAACTAAATTAATTAATTAATTAAAAACGTAAGAAGAAAGCTTCCCAGGGGCAACAATTTTATATTTTCTTTATTTTATTATTATTGTTTTTAACTCATTTTATTTGGGAGAAAACCTGTTTCCCACACCAAGCACAATTATGAAACTGCACTAAAAATGTGATAATTGTTAATGTTGTTGTCTCAAGACTTTGTCCTCGGTCATCAAACCAGTGACCAATTTTTTAATAACTGAATAAAATAATAGTAAAAAAATATCCCACATGACTCATTATTTATTTATTTAACTTTATAGTGTTTTAAAAATCGGGTTAGGCACAAGTGGCCAGCATTGATGTGCTGCTATTTGTTTGGACAACTTTTTTAGGGGCTCGACCGATTAAGCGGCTTTCTAAATTAGTCATCTTTTTTTTTTGTTTTTGTTTTTTTAATTATATTAAAACTTTTATTTCTTACATTAATTGTAAAATTAACAAAAGTTATTAATTATATTATATTTAATACAATAGCTTCTAATATACTGTTTAGATAACTTTTTATTTGACCATTTTAAATAGTATATTTAATACAATATAACTTATAAATTATGTACAAAAAGAAATAAAAATAAATTTATTAACCATGTGGTTCTAGTGCCTAACAACTTTTATAACCTTACTTTCACTACAGTAGTAATGCAAATTGTCTAGTGTTTTACTTTTTTCTTTTTAATTCCCCGAGTATAAATTTATTGGAACTAGCTTAGTGATTGGTATTGCTTTTAAAAAAGACTTGAAATTCAATCTTGGGAATTATTTTAATATATGATAATTAAATTTTAACAGTACTAATTAATTAATCTAATCTGCTTTTGCAGGATGTTCATAGAGTCATGCAGAAGGCTGCGGATAATGAAGAAATCAGATGCTAAGGTTATTGGGCTTCAGGCCCAAGACCTTCTTAAAGGGCTTGCCAAGGAAGATGTTCAAAATTAGAATGATATATTTGTCATTTTATAAAGATCTTCCCGGCCCAATAGTTATGTTACCAATCATTATAATATCATCAAATATTTGTTAAACTCTATTTGATGCTAGGTGATATTATTATAACTATTACAGACTCGAGAATATTTAATTAGCGGAGTTAATTGCTCATGATATGATATTTTGTATAATAGTTGATTTATTTTGATTAATGTCGAATTATATGTCGCATTAGATTATGAAGTTATTATTATTATATTTTTATGAAGGAAATTTAACGATTGAAGTCTGTTCCTTTTCTATAGTTGATTTGATCATGCTTCTACATGCTTTTTTAGAACCGCTATGACAAAAAAAAAGGTCATGAATTTGATTTTTAAAGTTTTTCCAAATTATTCTTTTTTATAATTGTTCATCATTAAATGAGATTTAAAATAAAATATAACCAAACGTGATCTAAATAAGCAATGTTGAGATATTTTATCAAAATAAAACCTTCACTTTAGTAAGGTGATGTTAGATAAGTCTAACAGTTATACATACTTTATCAACAAAAGTGTATATTTTTAACAGAAATGTATTTTTGTAACAAAAAGTAATGACTTGCCTAACAATTAGGCCGATTAAAATGTAGCAGACATTGTGCTAGACCACACATGAAGCTAGGGTATAAACTTGAAATTTGCATTAGAACTTAAAATTAACTTTAATTATGTACTCTGAACCTGTAAGTTCACTGAATTAATGTGTCTCTTCAATGCATCCATTGGGCAGTTATTCAATATTGCAAGCCGAGTATAATAACTCATATTTGAGCTCGTTCTCGTTTATTGGCTCGTTTAATAAATGACCAACAAAAAACTCAGCTCGAGCGCAACTTGTTTAAGTTCGTGGAAGCTCGACTTTTTTAATAAACTGAAATCCCTAAACGAGTTGTTCACGAATATGAAATGTTCATTTGCAAAAAGCTTTAAGCTCGACGGTTCAGTTAAAATTCATAAAAAGATTAAGAAAGAAAAAAAGTTGCTCGTGAATAAAGGTAGTTGTTCGAGCTAGGCTCGTTTAATTAAACAAACGAGTTGAACTTGAGTTGTTACTAGCCAAATTAAAACGTGTTCGCAAATAATTATGTTCGAATAACAACTCTAGTTATTCTTTTCTATCTAAATCATTGAGCTTAGCTCTTACAAATTTTTCCCCGTATTTTCCCCATAACTTACTATTTAGTTGGTTAATTATGTTTCATCTTGGACTAGCCAAAGGCGTGCAGCCAACAAATCTTGATTCATCTTATATCGACCAAAAGGATGAAATTGCACAAATATTAAGATTTGAGTTCGTTGAACTTAGGTCATGTGACATAAATTTAATAACTCTATGTTTCGAAAATTGTAAAGAATTAGCAAGTGATTAAACATTAATATGAAAAAATTTATCAAATAAAGGTGATTTACCCTTGTCACGTTTCCATTTTTAGTAGTTACACGTGCATGCATGTCAGGCTGCAAATTAAAATTGGTTATCACACGGAATCTTAGGACCAATATATGTCCATAACACGTATTTCAATAAATTTTCACAAGCAAATTAGCATATTTTTAAAATATTAATGATAAAATTATTTTAATTAGCTTGAAAAGATATGTCCCGTGACACGGTGACAGTATAT